CACCCTCCAACTCACTCCCCACACTCTCAATACACATATATCCCCCCACACACACACACACACACACACACACACACACACACTTAAAGAGTAAAAATGAAAGATGTTCTGAGTTGCAATACACATGAAAATATACTGAATCTCTCTGAACAGTCAGAGACGGCTGTACCAAACACGGACTAGACTTCTGTAGTCTACTGTACTGTAGACCCCTCCTTCTCTCTCCCACTCGCTTTTGGAGAGACAATGGTCAAATCAATAGGCCACAAATACACACAGAAAAACAAAGTGGCCTGTGTTACGTCCCTGCTGCTTTCAAATAAACAAGAGCAAGAAAACACAAAGAGGGCACTGACACCACACACACACACACACACACCCACATGCACACACTGCAGAGGAGCAGAGGGCTCCTGTTCATCTATTCTATGTTGTAGGAGTTTGGGAGCTGGTTTATGCATGGCAGCCGAGTGCATCTGCCCTTCACATTAATCACACTACAAACTCAATCTAACTAAATTGAAGCATTTTCAATCAGCGTTTTCTTGCCAAATCTTTAGCAAGATCCTTACATGCCCACATATCTGTATGTCTGAAGAAAATACAGTATGTGGGTTAGAAAGAGTGTGTGTGTGTGTGTGTGTGTGTGTGTGTGTGTGTGTGTGTGTGTGTGTTTGCGTGTTTGTGTTGAAAACCTATTAGCATTCTGTGGATGATGCTACAATATTTATTAACTTATTATCGGGACTACCATACTTTCACCATCTTTGTGTGTGTGTGTGTGTGTGTGTGCGTGTATACAGATGGCCTTTCTGTGTTGGTATGACATCATCCACATGCTAAACCTACACAGACATCACATCACATATTCCAGAGTCATAGCTGCCTACGCTCAACACAGAAGCACATCAGATAAAAGAGACATTTCTAAAAGGACCTGTGTTCTACAGAGAAATAAAAGAACCAAATGTGGTTATTCAAGAAATAATGTGAGCTTGATTGGGTGCCACTACACTGCGTTGCATTTGAGTTTTAATATGCTGCTGATAATTCAGCCCTTTGTCTTATTGTGTGTGAGCATTACTTCCCAACATGGAAGCTAAAAAACAAACAGAAGGTCAAAAGCTTAACTATATAAGATAAGATAACTCTTTATTGTCATTGCACAGTCATACATAGTACAGTAGTACAATGAAATTGGAAATATATGCTGATTAGGTCATCTAAGGAGGCCCTACTGCGCTTATTGAAAGCTCTTTCTTAGTGTTTTTGAACACTACTGTTGTAGTTTAGTATACTTTACAGTTTAAAATAATCTCTATTTATCCTTGATGCTTCCACTCAGTTCACATATTGTCTGAAACAAATTTCCACCCCTTTTACCCTCCCTTTAAGCTAGCTTACTTCTGATTGGCTGCCTTTGTATACAGAAAACAGCAGGTGGGTGGGGCTTCTGTGCTCAAAGCCAAAGCTGTGTTCCTGACCCTATTAGGGATACCCACACTCTATGACATCATACAGAGTCAAGAGCAGAAAAAACTGTGTGAAGTGGTGTGTTTGGAGCAGTCTGCAGTGTTTACAACTGTGTTTATTACAATTTGGTCCACTTTCACAACTCACTGTTTTCAGAGTAAAATCTCTAAGGAGAAGCTCAGTGATTAACACTAAAGAACAGAGAAATAAAGTTAGTTAACTGGAAAAAAACATAATGCTGCATTTAGCAGGTAAATTTTCCTATTAACTGTTAGGTTGATTTGACCTGAAAGATAACATAATTTCATACAGGCGATATCAAAGTGTTTACACTGCAAATGCAGAGAAAGTGTTTGCTGGGATTATTACCAAATCCACAATCAGTTCTGCTGCCTCAAATTGGCCAAGGAAGATTGAAACAAACAAAAAAGAAGATAGGAAAACCTGATTTACCAGTGATGAACTCACCCGCCTCGAAAAAACTGGATCGGTATTTTAGAATGGACACTTATTACTGTATTCAAGACAATTTAATGAGGAGGTTTACACTAAAGAGAAGTGAATATGACACTGCTGATGGCAGCCTAGCATAAGAAAGCAAACCAACCCTGTCCAAAGCAAGTTACACAGTTCACTTACCAGCATTTCTAAAGCTCAGGATGTGTCATGTAATATTTCTAAAATGGAGAATGGAAGAAGTTGGCTGGAGCATATTCGAACAGAGGTAATCTAAGCTAGCCATCTCTTGGCTATATGACTTTATAATTTAACAAATAAACACTAGAGTGGTATCAGCATAATTAGCAGAAACTAGAACAAGCATGTTTCCCCAAAAGTGTTTTCAGAATTCATTGTACATGACTGAAAAGTCTGCTGTGGAGCTACAATCTCTAACGTGATGTGAAATCTCTGGTCAGACTGACTCTACTTCATGTTCATGTTCAAATCAAGATTGTTGTGACTGATATTTATCTTGCTGTACTAAAGCTGCAATAATTCGCATGTTTACAGGTTTTTTTGTCTGAAATAAATGAGTTCTGAAAAATGTGTTGTAAAACACAATTAAGATAAAAAAGTAAAAAAAAAAAAAGTCTGTTGTGATTGTTCCTGCACTGCCTACATTAAAGAGTGTCTCTTCTATTCTCATCTCAGTCTGGGTTTGGGGCTTCAGGCATCCAGCAGATAAAGCAGACTCTGGCTCCTGGCTCTGTGCACTGTTAACAGAACAGCTGCGGACCCACCAATTCAAACATGCTTCATTCTAAGTCATGTGTTCTTAATGATTCCAGGGTATACTAAATTGGAGTAGGGTATAAATCCGGTAGAGCATTTCTAGCAAAAATTCCTTGAAATAATATTCTGTGAAGTAGTTGTAGAAGTGCAACACATTGTCGTAGCTAAGTAACTGCATTGTGTGTTATCTGCTTCTACTAAGTATTTCATCTTTTGTTGTTGTTTATTTGTGTATTGGGATCCTCTTTAGGTTCCACCACAGCAGTTGCTAGTCTTTCAAACCATAAACCAAGAAACAGCAGTGACTTAGGCAGCACTGAGTTGCATCGTGTGTAGAGAGATGCAGCTTTGTGAGGTGGTTTACCTCAGTTTGAATTATGCTTAGAAAACTGTCTTAAATTACTAAACTGAAGTTGCATGTAGGATAATTCAGTACTTGACATGGATACTGGAGCTGATTGGCTAATGGCCGATGATAACATTGCTTTCATTTAGCACAAAAGTAAACCACAATATGGTTGAACTATATTGCCTTGATCCATTTGATAAGGATCCTACGTGGAGTTTTCTTGACTGAAGATGTCCCGGTGCCTTCCCTCTGTTCCCTCTCTTGGACGTTTAAGCTTCACTATCCAGGACAATGCACCGTTCATACACTGCAATACAGTTTTAACGTGTTTTTGCTAAACACAGAATGTTTCTTTGAACTCACCCGAACTTGGAAAAGCAATAACATTCAGCATGTTTGGAGGAGTTCTTTCAGGTTGCAGTTTTCCCTGCTGGTTTATAAAGACGCAGGAGAGAAATCTGCTGAACTTCAGGAGGTGCAAAACAAATCACAGCAGTGATTCTGTGGAACTCTCTTACTCAAAGTGAAACTGCTGCAGCTCAGTGTACACTTAGTGAGCGTCAAATTACTCAAGAATGCGTCTGTGCTGCCATCCAGTGTCTGTCCGGAGTACTGCAACAAGCATATATTGTAAACATCACTTATTATTTGAGCAGTTGATATGAAGGTTTTTCGCACCTATGCCAGGTTTCATATCATGACATCACCAGTCAAGTAAAACAGAGAGACATGGGTGTTTAAAGTGAGACGATTCAGAGCTAGGGCCAAATACACATGTTTAGAGAGTGATTGTGGGCACATGTGAAGATTGTCCATCAATGTATTTCCTCTGCTTATCTACTTCAGGGTCACAGGGTGCTGGAGCCTATCACAGCTGTCACAGGGCAAAAGGAATCAGAGGGCAGATTGTCAGCAACCACATACCACATAAATAGTGAACAATTTAAGTGACATCCAAAATAATGAATGTATTTAAAGAAAAATGACATTTTGTAACACAGCTTTTTATTTAACCACCCACAGAGAAGATCTTGTAGACAGTAGCTGGCCCCACATGAAAACAGAGGCACGTGTTGTTTGATCACAATTCATCCTTGTTGCTCTGAGAGTCTGGTGCTGAGGTGGAGTCCTTCTTAACTGCTTTTACTGTCTTTTTTGCAGCTGGTTTTGTTTTCTGTTTATCACCCTGCTTTGCTTTTGTTTTTGCTGTCTGTTTTCCATCTTTTGCAGCAGCAGCTTTAACTTTGCCTGTCGTCTTTGCCTTCGTTTGATCTCCAGCTTTAGGCTTTGTTTTAGGTGCAGCTTTGGTTTTAGTGGTTCCTTTACTGGCTGTTTTCGCCTCCCCCGCATCCTTCAGCAGGTCAGTTTGTGCATCGCCCGACGTGTTCAGCTTGAGCTTCTGCTCTCCTACTTCTTTTTTTCTGGCTGCCTCCTGGTCAGCCTGTGCGGGAGCTTTGGGTTGAGACTCAGTTTCCATGGCCTCATTTTTACTGAACTCTGCATCCACTGGTGTAGAAAACATCTTCAGCAAATCCTGAGCCTGGATTCTTTCCTATGGGACAAAAAAAGAAAATGTTTGGGAGACTGCAAAATGAAACAAGGAACAGGTATGAATCACAAATTTTCTTTGAAGTTGTGCTGGCAGTCAGAAAACACAACATCATTATCTAGAGCTGAGTTTCATATTTCTGCACAGCAATAACTGACTGTGTGCACTGTTTTCAACTTAGGCTGTCTTTATAACTTTGTGGAAATAGTCTGATGCACTACGTAGTTCTTCTTCACTCACTTTTAACTCCCTATGTGTTCATACATCATTCTACATTTAATCATTAGTTATTATTAATCTCTGGCTCTCTTCCACAGCATGTCTTTGTCCTGTCTTCCTTCTCTCACCCCAACCGGTCGCAGCAGATGGCCCCGCCCCTCCCTGAGCCTGGTTCTGCTGGAGGTTTCTTCCTGTTAAAAGGGAGTTTTTCCTTCCCACTGTTGCCAGAGTGCTTGCCCATAGGGGTCATCTGATTGTTGGGGTTTTCTCTATTTTCTCTGTATTATTGTAGAGTCTTTACCTTACAATATAAAGTCCCTGGGGGTAACTGTTGTTGAGATTTGGCACTATATAAAAAAATGGAACTGAACTGAATTCAAGGTGTTAGAAAAAAGGATCATTTGAACAATTCATGCTAAATCCTGACCCATCTTTCTCCATTTTGGAAGAAGTTATTGTTTAAAAGGATTACACACAGACCCAAACCTAAAGCCTATGCATGCTCACATCTGGTTACAGTGGTTTTCCTTACCTTTTCCTCGTGAGCAGGATCCAAGGTGAACCACAGAGCAACAGCACACCTCTGACCCCGGGTGACAGCTTTGACACCGTGGGGGTTTTCTTTCCCTGCTCCAAAACCGACCACGCGACCACACTTTGGATGCACCTCCGCCTTGAGAAGACACACACCACGCAACACAATCAACATCGATGTGGTTAAAAATGCATTTTTGTTAAATGCACAGTGGCTTTAAAAAGTATTCAGACTCTGTCAGTCAAACCCTGTGGATAAACTTAGCAGTTTGTCCACATGTACACTTAATAATCTATAACAGGAACCTCATTAAAATGAACAGTTTAGATCTCTGTGCAGGTGTTCCACAGGGTTTAATTCCTGCCTTTTAGTTGGGCCCCTTAAAGAAAGTCAAACATCTGCCGTGAAGCAACTCCAGTGCTGTCATGACTATTTGATTAGGGTCATTAAAGTGCTGAAAAGTAAACTCTGACCACATTCTCTGATCTCTGCCTTCTAGAGCAACTTCAGGTGTCTATAGTTAGAGCAATAGATAATGTCAGTGTTTTTAAGTGCATATTTAAACCACTTTACATCAAATTTAACACTAAATTTGCAAAGGACGTGCACATCAAGTGCTCCTTAAAAGTAAGCACATTAACGTGAGTTCAAAATGTGCATCCTACATGATCCAGATGTGTTTATTAATGTGAAAGGCCTTGTAATTGTCTCGTATATGCCATTTTCACAGGTAATTATAGGTCTAAATTAACCACTTGCCGGTCCTATGCATCAGGGATTTTTGTATTTTTAGGTGCAACTGTTAATAAAGCTAATGAATCTAATTAGAATCCTATTACCATGTTTACACAAACTATAGAAAAGCCAAAACAACCAGGCAAATCTAAAATAGTGTAGAGGGAAGAAAATAGCAAGATTATGTGCTGAAATTCCCGTGGTGACCCATCCAAACTGAATTTTAGACAATTTCATACTTTTATTAAATGTGCGAGACTTTTCATTGTGAGGTTTTCTTAAAGGACATCTTTTTGTTTTACAGCATCCCTCCTCACTTCAGCCCACTGTCATTTTCCGTAACAGCGAGAGACAATCCCATCACAAGGAATCGTGATAGCTTTAAGATTTAAATGCCATTAGCAAAATACAGCCGGACTGCCAACTCTATAAAGAGTCCAAGTGGTCCCAAACTTTTAAATCTCACAAAAACTGAGACCACCCAACACTTTACCCTTTCCAAAGGTCTACAGAGAGTTCCTTGGACTTCATGGCTTGGCTTTGCTCCGGGCATAAAGAGTTATTTGTGGGACTTTTACTCCTTATGGAAACACAGCACAAGCTTACAGTTAAAGCACATTTACAGCCTGGGACAAACACATGTTTGATCCCTATGGATAGTTTCCCCATCTAGGATAGGGTTAGAGACAGGATAAGGATAAGCAGTAGAGAATGATTGAAACAACTCTGACTGGGGTGATTTTTTTCCATCCATAGCCAGTTATTAAACTCCAGTCAGAGTTTGTTTTACTAGTGTTTTATTCAGCACTAAATTGCAGATATGCACACAGTTTATGGATGCTGCTTGCTAACCATTAACTTAACTTAGCATTAACAAATCAAAAAACAAATAAATAAAAACATTTGGAGGCAGCTAAAGCAGTCTGAAAGAAAACTTTACAGTTTTAAAAAAGAAAGGAAAAAACATCAGATATATATTTACCGTCACTGTTTTGGCATCAAGCTCTGTGAAAATGAACTCTCCTCCTTCAAAGTCCTCATTCAAATAAAGGATGGCACTGCAGGAGTGAGACACCAGGAGGTCAGCCGGTCCTTGTCATCAGGGTGGGTTGTGTAGACAGAATTTTAAGTGCGTGTGTGTGTGTGTGTGTGTGTGTGTGTGTGTGTGTGTGTGTGTGTGTGTGTGTAACCATACCTGTAGTCTCTGTAAGTGTATGCAGGAGGTTCCTTTACACACTCGTTGACCTCAGAAACCAGCACACAGTTGTCGACGTGGACAGGGTGACTCATGTCCTTACGGTCGTCCTGCTTCTCTGAACAAACAGGAGCACAGAGAGAACATTTGGAGAAATTTGGGCCCAAAAACAAAGCTAGCTGAGAATTCAACAGCTAAATGTGTTTCTTTGTGTATTTATTGTCAGAGGTAGTGGAGACCAAAATGGTACTGAATTCAGTATATTTGACTGTACTAACTTCAGTTATTACATCACAGTTACAATTTTGTTGCAAGCACCGGGAGGCAACTGTTATTGTGATTTTGTGTTACATAAATAAAACTGAATTTTACTTGTGTTCTAAGGTTCTTCTCTACAAAGTTATCTGCATGCTGGGTAGACAGCAAGAAAAAAATAAAAATCAAACAAACATGCGTTTTTCTTCCTGCCACTGGTGCTGCAGTCTGCTGATTTTATGTCTTGATGCATGCACATTCACCTAAGTAAGGAAAATCCCAAAAGGTTTCTGTTCATCTGGATGTAGCATTTTCAGTGGGAGAAACATTTCGTCACTCATCCAGTGACTTCTTCAGTCCAGGACTTTGAAGTAATACACTAAATCTCTGTTTGTCTGTCTGCCAGCTCTACGATGAGGAGCTGAGCAACCAAACACATGGCACAGGTACATCTTAGACCCCTGAAGGTTGTTATCTATGTAACACATTATGATGTTACCATGTTGCCTAGCAACCACCAACCAACTGCCATCTACCTGTCTAACCATCGTAGGATTTTTATTTCACAACAGTAACATCTAGTTTATATTGACAAAAATCAACTATTATTAGATATACGATATGTTACAATGGCATCACGTTACTTGGCAACCACCTAACAATGGTCTACAATGACATTTATATTGTAACGTGGGGCAGGACGGGCATGTCCTAGCAGATCTAACAGATAAACGAGATCATTTGGGAGTCATGTCTGAACCAACTCCTAGACACAAAATCAGGATGGGGAAAAAATGACACAGTGTCAGTGGTTAGCTTACCATCGATGGCAGAGCGACAGACCAGGTGGGAGTATGTGAAATAGAGTGGAGTGTCCAGACGGAAGTAGGACTCTAAGACCTTCCTCACTTTCTCACTGAGGTCAAAGAACAGACGAGCGCTCTTCAGAGGGACCTTCCCCTCCTGGCCAAGCTGTGAGAAGCGGAAAAACCATGTAAAAGCTGGGACAAGGAGGAAAACAATGTTGAGTCTGTTTTTATATAGAACTATAAATACAAAAGTGTTCCAGGAAAGAGCATCTTCCCTCTAAAGAGAACACGTCTTAGGTTTGCAAAGCTTCAGGTTCTTTGGACAGACAAGACCAAAGTGGAGATCTTTGGCTAGAATTCCCAGCGACATGTTGGGAGAAAACCAAACACTGGCTATCAGCACAAGCACATCGTACAAGTGTCAAGCACGGTGGTGAAGGGGTGATGATTGCTCCATGCTGTGAATAAACGAATGCCTGCAAACCTCAATCAACTGAAGCAATACTACAAAGAAGAGTCGGTCAAAATTCCTCCACAATCATGTGAGATGCTGATAAAATAATACATCAAACAATTACTTCAAGTTATTGTTGCTAAATATAATTCTACAAGCTACTGAATCAACACAGTTTTTCACAGGACTGCATTATGTCGTGGAAAAGTGATATACTGTCAGGTTCTAAGTGATCGTTCCTCTCTGTGTAGACAATAACTGACGTGCTGAGTCACACGTGTCGTTTTGGATCCTACGAAGCTGCAACTATTTAATTACCTCAAACAGCTGGAAGCAATAAGCATCAGGTTACATTTACAGGTGAGCCTCTAGATTAACCTGCTGCAAACATGTTTATTCTCATCCGCCAACTCGAGCACATAAGCTATATGCTGCATGTTCTGTTGTTTTGTTGCTGAAATGTGGAAAAAGTCTGCTGTTAGACTAAAAAACGTATTTTCTGTTTCCACATAAAGAACTAGCTTTGATCTTTCCCCTAGCTATGATTAAAGGTAAACGTTTGTGCTTGTGTTGGCATCTCTTATTTGGAATTTTTCTGCTTTATAGACCTTGACAGCCTTCAGGACGGTGACTCCCTGGTACAGCTCGCTGGGGGAATGTGGGGATGGTCGTCCTCTATAGCCATCGCCTTTTAGAGCAGCTGTCTGTGAAATAAATGCAACATTAAGCAACTCCTATAACAGCCGAGCTGAAAAACATACATACGCGACACGATCAGAATGCAGGTGATGTGAGGAAATCTTTGCTGACACGGACTGAACTTTATTCCTTGGGGCTACTCACATTGGAGAGACGGTGCAGCTCCCTGCACTCCTCATCTGTGATCACACCGTCCAGCAAAACCCGCTGGGAGCCATTCAGCTGCTTGGATGTCATGGTCACCTTGATGTCACTGTACAGCAGAGCGCCATCTACAAGATAAGGTCACAGTTAAAGACGTGAGGATAAAGACTGGTTGTACAAGACTGACATTTTATACCCTGGTTCTCTGAAACATTCACCTTCCTGTGGCACTATCATCTTGGTCATTTCTGAAGAATCCTTCTTCTTTTCCTCAACCAGATTCTCAATCTCCTTCATCAGGTTTCCTATCTCCTCTGTGATCCTCGCTGCAGTCTCTCTCTCAGCCCTGAGACACAGCAACACACACGCAGATAACAACACTGACTTTAAGTGCACCTTCATGCTCGACCTGCACACGTGTGGCGGTGCTCTTAGTCTTACTTCTGTTTCTCTCTCAGTTTCTTAGGCATGACATCGTCGGGAGTCCACGAGTCCTTTAAGCAAAAATAACAGAGAATTCGAAGATCACATTTATTTATATCCCAGCACTTCATAAGTAGTGCAGAATGTGGTGAGATGTAAAATGAGTTATACACTTACCGGATCTACAAAAGTGATTCCAAAGGCTTCATAACCAAAGTAGAGGAGCTCTTTCTCCAGGAGCGACTGCTGAATGTACTGTTTCACCACCTAGGGATTACAAGTCAGCAGCAGCCTGTAACATAGCTCCTAAAATCACATTCAACAATCACAAAGCCTGCGCTATAAAGACCGTCGTTATATCTCTGGTTCCTTAGCTCCAGTTGGAGCTGTCTTCTCCTTTATTTTAGTAGGAACAAATTGGTCTGGCTTTTTTTTTACAGTGATTCTGACGGACGCATGTTAGTGGTGATGTATGCATTCAGAGAGCAAATCTGTGTTGTGCTTGTTCAGCTTCTGTTTTATCTCCTGTGCTTTTGTAGCATTTTTTGATTTGAGGGTGTTTTCTTAGGTTGCAGTGTGTTTGAGCTCATGCAGCTCTGCTCTCATGGTGCATACACACCGTCAGGCTGTGGATACAGAGGTCTGGACAACAGTGTAATAATACACCTGCATCTACCTTTGGAGCCTTTATATTCTAAAACACAGGCCACAGGCCAGCAACCTCCACCTGGGAAATAATCACTTAGTCATTAGTAGTGATGGATAACCATAATAACCCACTTTAAATAGTGTGTTATGTGGATTTTTAGGGCCCAGGGCAGCTCAAATCTTTTTTAAGAATCAGCAAACAGTTATGTGCTTAGATCACCACCAGAGCCTTTTTTTAATGTGCCCCTGAGTACACGTGAGTGCTGATGAAGACCATTTTTCTGCCACCACACTTTGTTCAGGCTAATTTACTGCTGATCACTAAGGATTAAGATAACACACTGCTAAGAATAACTGCACTCACGGTGAGGTTGAAGTAGAGGTTGAAAGCCTCTGTTAAACACAGTGTAACTGTACCTGTCGGGCTGATATGGCTGCTGCTTTGTCCTCGCCCAGCATGGCAGAGTAATAGTTCAGGTTCTGGTTCATCACCTCATCCTCAGGGTGGAACAGCAGGTAGGTCTTAGCACACTCTATGGCCTTCTCGTACTTCTCACCTGGAAAGAAAAGACAAAAATCCATGGAATCATGGATGTGAACAAAAAGGATGTTATTGGATTTACAGCATATATCCTTGTTCTTAAACACCAGTGACTATTTCATAACAAACATCCTGTACCTACAGGGGACTCTAAAGTTACAGCACGGAAGAATTTTAGCTTAAACTTGTTGTTAAACATTCAAAAAATGAAATCAAATTATGAAGAAAGTGTGAAAAATTTAAAAATAAAAGTATAAAAATATTTTAAAGACCTTCATTGTGTTACTGCTATATGAAGTTAGTATGCTAAGTTTGGAACAACCACATGGAAGAACTTATAACAAAACAAAACAATGTAAAATGATTAACATGACATCTTATAGTTTCAGAATATTTGCCTCTTTGGCAGGTGGCTAAAACAAAACCTGGTCTTATGCTGAGACTGGTCAGTGGTCACCTGGTCATTCAATTCAATTCAGTTTTATTTATACAACAACAGTCGCCTCAAGGTGCTTTATATTGTAAGGTAGACCCTACAATAAAAACAGAGAAAGGACTTTGGTGACAGAGAGAAGGAAAAACTCTCCTTTAACAGGAAGAAACCTGCGGCAGTTCAGAGGTTAAGAGCCTAAACTCTTACAGGACAGGGTTGTTTTTCATATTGCTCTTTTAAAGGCTGCCACTAGGGAGAAGTAAAATATAATAATATGAAATTTTACATAAAACGCTGCAATTCTTTTGGTTAATTTTGAAGAAATACATTATAAATACATGCAGTACAAGAGAATTTTCTCTTTTTTATTTACTATATAAATAGTTAAAGTATTTAACATATGTACCAAAAAGCTCTTTAAGTCTACAGTCACACAGAACAGTTTTAAAAAATGTGGCATGACCAGAATTATTGCAATTAGTTGCAGTGAATTGGGCTCTGCAAAGCAAGTTTGGTGCATAAAGACAATGATTAAACAGCAATCACTCCACTGTCAATGTTGACAATTATGTGCGATAATCTTTTAATCTGTGATCAACTGTAACAAATGGGCAAAAACTGCAAATCAATTGAAAACTAAATACAAAGAAATTCACATGAATTACTTCCATTCAGAGTCCAGCAATAAATGCTGATCTATTATCATATAATATTTGGCTTATTTAAGAGGTAATCTCGTTCATGTTAGGTGCAGGTCTGTGTTTTTGCTATTAAAGTCGTCAAACAGATGATCCGTGTATATGAGGCCATAGCTGTTCATTTCTGTGTTTAGACTTCTTTTCTGCATTGTTGCTAAGGACAGTGGATACAGGCACACCTGACTTATAGAAAGCACTGTGAAACTCACTGTTGTAGTAGGAGAACTGCAGGTAGTTGAAGTGTGAAGGCAGGAAGTCCTCAAAGGGCTTGTCTCTGCCAGCAGTTAAGGCCAGCTCCACAGCACAGTGCTGCTTACAGCTCAGCACCTGCAGGTAGTGGTCTGAGGGACACAGACACATTTATACAAGTATTTATAGCACATGCAGCCTATTTTTCATATTTGCCATACAAATGTCTCCCTTGCATGCAGCTTCACATCAAATTCTCAGCTCTGTTGGAATCTTTAGTGCTCACAAGCAAAGGATATGCTGCCTCACCACTCATACTCTGGAACAGGTCTGCACTGTACTCCATGTAGTTGTATCCATCATAGTTGTAGGCACCCTCACACAGAACTCTGCACTCCTTATCAGCTATGAAGTACTCATCTACGGCTGATTCAAAGTGTTCAGCCGCCAGGATGAAGGAGTCGTCACTGTAGGAGCTCTTTCCCAGCAGAAACTGGGCCTGAAGAGAGAGGGCACATCACAACTACTGCAACAGTCAGCTTCATCTGTTCAAGGTCAGTCAGGCAGACAAAGGAGTTTAAATCTTTCTGCTTGAATCATCGTTAGAGACTGCATCATGTGGCAACATGTAAAGAAAAATGCCCTCCTTCCTTCTCTTCTGTTTTCCCCTCCAGCTGATTATGATAGATTGCCTTCTCTCCCTGAGCCTGGTCCTGCTGGAAGCCACTTCCTGTTAAAAGAGAGTTCTTCCTTCTCGTTGTCACCAAGTGCTAGTTCACAGGGGATCGTCTGACTGTTCCTTAATTTGACTTAACTGACCAAACTAATGAAATGTCAATAAAAATAAACTGTAGATGAATTATAGACAATCAGCAGAGGATGAGGCTACAAGAACATAACAGCATTATCAAAGACGGATTTTGCTTTCACCATGTGTGGCCTGGCCTCCAGATCTTTGAAGTCGTCCTCCTGTACTCCTGCCATCATCCTGTAGTAGTCCAGATTCTGTCTCATCTCCATGTGATCTGGGTTGGCCAGGAAAAACGTGTTGGCAGCTGCTACTGCTTTGGCCAGCTTATTGATCTGAAAGGAAGAAAAACACATACACAAGCTTATTTTCTATTCTATTTAATTCAACTGGAAAACTCGTGCAAGCTAACTTGGTATCAAAATATCTCATGTAGGCACAGATACATTAACAGTTAGTTAATGTAGTAGTGGAATACATTTAATCTACTCTGATTTTACCTTTGTTTTGGTGCAATAAGCCCAGTAGTTGCTCTTTACTTTCCAAATGTTAGCTAACTATATACACCAGCCAATATTGATCCTGACATACTCATATTGAGACGTCAGTAATGTACACAGGCTATTATTTTAACTAATTATGTTACATATTTATGTTTAATCGTTCTTATTGTATGTTTTTGTACAGGTACTTCAGACTGTGTCTGTCAACTTTCACTCACTTTTATTTTGGGGGTAATTAATCTGCTATAAATGATTTTTGATGCAATATCATTTTAAATGTACACATTTTTGGTCTGGTAACCCATAAGGGCCAAACTGTTATCTTTACATTTTCTGGGGTGGATTTCAGTTTACTCTTTACTATCTGAAACGCTAACGTTTAGGCAGCTCAGTAGGTAGAAAGACTTAAAAGATTTTTTGGCAAGACTGAAGCCCAGGTTTCCCCCGATGCATCCATCACAGTGTAACTTTGATCATGGTAGGTTAAAAGTATTTAGGCATAGGAAAAATATCCTTGTATAAACAGAGACTGAGACTTTTAGTAGGAAAGGGCTTTGATTGCTGAGAGTAGTAAAGCAATATAGTACCAGTCGTATTTCTCAGATTTTAAAATATTTCAAAAGTTCAGAATATATATTACAATGAAATCACAAGTAAGTGAATCGTACTAATGTAAGGCCAGACTGAACTGCCCAAGTTGCAGTTGTGTGGATTTAGTGGGTCACAAAATAGTCTAACAACCTAACAACATCCTAAAAACAACCGAACTTGAAAACAGTAAGCCATTTTTTCTGGTTTTCCTGCAGTGGTACATCATACTCATAGGTAAGCATAATACAGCACTGTGCAATAGTCCTGAGCAATCCCTCATTTCTTTATGAGGCTTTTTTGAAGTGGTTTTAAGCAATACAGGGAGTGCAGAATTATTAGGCAAATGAGTATTTTGTCCACATCATCCTCTTCATGCATGTTGTCTTACTCCAAGCTGTATATGCTCGAAAGCCTACTACCAATTAAGCATATTAGGTGATGTGCATCTCTGTAATGAGAAGGGGTGTGGTCTAATGACATCAACACCCTATATCAGGTGTGCATAATTATTAGGCAACGTCCTTTCCTTTGGCAAAATGGGTCAAAAGAAGGACTTGACAGGCTCAGAAAAGTCAAAAATAGTGAGATATCTTGCAGAGGGATGCAGCAGTCTCAAAATTGCAAAGCTTCTGAAGCGTGATCATCGAACAATCAAGCGTTTCATTCAAAATAGTCAACAGGGTCGCAAGAAGCGTGTGGAAAAACCAAGGCGCAAAATAACTGCCCATGAACTGAGAAAAGTCAAGCGTGCAGCTGCCAAGATGCCACTTGCCACCAGTTTGGCCATATTTCAGAGCTGCAACATCACTGGAGTGCCCAAAAGCACAAGGTGTGCAATACTCAGAGACATGGCCAAGGTAAGAAAGGCTGAAAGACGACCACCACTGAACAAGACACACAAGCTGAAACGTCAAGACTGGGCCAAGAAATATCTCAAGACTGGTTTTTCTAAGGTTTTATGGACTGATGAAATGAGAGTGAGTCTTGATGGGCCAGATGGATGGGCCCGTGGCTGGATTGGTAAAGGGCAGAGAGCTCCAGTCCGACTCAGACGCCAGCAAGGTGGAGGTGGAGTACTGGTTTGGGCTGGTATCATCAAAGATGAGCTTGTGGGGCCTTTTCGGGTTGAGGATGGAGTCAAGCTCAACTCCCAGTCCTACTGCCAGTTCCTGGAAGACACCTTCTTCAAGCAGTGGTACAGGAAGAAGTCTGCATCCTTCAAGAAAAACATGATTTTCATGCAGGACAATGCTCCATCACACGCGTCCAAGTACTCCACAGCGTGGCTGGCAAGAAAGGGTATAAAAGAAGAAAAACTAATGACATGGCCTCCTTGTTCACCTGATCTGAACCCCATTGAGAACCTGTGGTCCATCATCAAATGTGAGATTTACAAGGAGGGAAAACAGTACACCTCTCTGAACAGTGTCTGGGAGGCTGTGGTTGCTGCTGCACGCAATGTTGATGGTGAACAGATCAAAACACTGACAGAATCCATGGATGGCAGGCTTTTGAGTGTCCTTGCAAAGAAAGGTGGCTATATTGGTCGCTGATTTGTTTTTGAATGTCAGAAATGTATATTTGTGAATGTGGAGATGTTATATTGGTTTCACTGGTAAAAATAAATAATTGAAATGGGTATATATTTGTTTTTTGTTAAGTTGCCTAATAATTATGCACAGTAATAGTCACCTGCACACACAGATATCCCCCTAAAATAGCTAATGAGAAGAAATGAGTCGTGGCTTGAGACTTTTGCACAGTACTGTATGAGTTATGACAGCTCTATGACTTTTTGATAAAAACTAACTTTAACATTTTCTTCAGCCTGAGCTTTTAGGGGCCAACTTCCTGTTTGACGTTTGTCCCGCACACCTCTGCCATGTCACACAGAGTTTCATAGAAAATATTTTCATCAGAGCAGAAAATAAATCCTTATTTTCACACTAACCCATTCATCTTTACGCCCCCTAAATTGCTTAGTTGGAAAAATATCTTGTTAAAAACGAATTTAAGTCTACAAAAAAATTAATAAAATAAATAATTGCTAGTCCCTACTTATTTCACAGATGAAGCGTTTGTAGTTTGCCAGCAGGAGCTTTTGAAAATAAAATTTTAGGCCTTTAAATCGCTCAATTTCACGTCCTAACGTCACACCCCGCAGAAGCTGACTCCACCTTAAGACGTGGCATGGTTGTCTTGGTTTTGGGGGGTTGGGGCAAAACAGTAATGTGCTCCACATCAGCTCTAACTTACAGGCTAAAAAAGAATCAGTGCTAAAGTTTTTACTGTTCTAGCTCGCCTAGAGCAAAGCGAGCGTGTGTGTGCAGTGAGAGACAGGCTACACTGTAGCTGCCACCATCCTCTTCTACCTTAAAATACGCCACTTGTAGGTAATTATATGGGCTCCTCTTCTTGAACTCCAGCTCTATTTCCTCGCTGACGAGATGCAAACTTGGTGCGCCGACTTTCTCAGTTTCGCAGGAGTTCACACAGTCGGCCCGCTTCAGGAATTTCTGGAAGAAGCCCAGGTCCTCCACAGAGCCGGTCCCCGGTATGGGAACTCCCAACCCGGCCAAAGGCTCGCCGAAAGCGGTCTGGTTGGCGCAGCTCTGGCGGCACTGAGCTTTAACTTTGCGCAAAGTGGCTTTGTTTTTGAGAGCCTTCTCCATGTTCAGAATCACCGATAACCAGTCCCCCTTATAGTAAGCTTCCACCGCCGTGTCGAAGAGGAAATCATAAGGCTCCAAAACAAAGTGGCTGCTCACTTCAGTGTCCGATGTGCACGCAGGCACCACGACAACACAGAGGAATGTGAGCGCATAACGGAGCTCCATGGTGGCAAAGTGTCAGGGCTCTGCAGCGGGACCTGAGCCTGGACCTGTGGCCGACGACGAGCCAGTACGCAGAGAGAATTGTTACTACTCCTTTCTCCACCAGGAGCTTGACTGGAGGTGGGATTTGAGCGGCGGATCCCCCCTCGGCAACACCCCCTCACCCTTCATCCTTATGCATATGCATACGCATCAGCCGTATGCAACATGATACGAGTTGATTTAGTGCTTCAGAGCAAAATATTTTCACTAGTTGAATAAACACAAAATGACACAGATTTCTGAAAAGGTCTGGTTAAAATGCATGAAAGTTTATTGACAAAAGTCCGAGAAAAGGCAACTAACCAATGAAAACTGTACTTTTAACTGTTTGCTTTTTTCCACTGATGGATCTGTTTGGAATTGTCCTCATTCACACTTTCACAGGTTCCCAAATACAGCTGTTGGTGCGTAGGAACACAGCAGTGAGGTTCTGGTGAGGCAAGGAGAAGACACGGCACCCAAAGAAACCTGAAGTCTGTGGAGAAACTCGTATTATAGGCCACTGATAGAGCCCGTCAATGGCCTAAAAGTGTACTTTTTAAAAGTTTTCAACGTGTCTGACTGAAGCTGTTAATGAAGTTGTACTGCTGTGATGCTGGATGTTGGAAGAGAATTCCCAAACAGCATGATGGGCAGTACATCTGAAATGTGTCACAGTATATTGTAAAGCTTAACATTCTTCTATTTAATCAAGATCGCTGTTCCACCGCTTTAAGCTGGTCAAAGAATATCATCGAATCCTGCAAACGATGTGTAATTTTATTTTTGTTGTGCTCATTTATAACTTTGCGCAAATAGTAAAATAATAAAGACAAAACAGAGGATTTAAATTTTGTCACAATAGAAAAAACTTACCAAAAAATTGTTCACTTACCAAAAAAATTAAACTAAGCACGCAATGTATTATGGGGAACGTAGTATGCGCGAGGAAGATCGAGCGAAACCAATAAAAATACATCTTTTAGTGAAAGTGTCAGCTTTAATGTGAGCTTTAGCTAGGAGCTTTTAAGTGCAATCTGACTCAGTCAAAAGTGGAGCACAGCTTCCGTTTTATGTGTATTATACAACTTCGTATATTTCTTAACATTGACATATCTTCATGTTTAAATGCTCTGTCTCGTGTCGACCTGCTATTTGAGAGCCTGAAAGAACAAGCGTAAATGTAGTGAAGTACGAAATACAGAATATAAAAGTTTATATCATTATTAATCCCAATACATAATTATAATAAAACAAAACAAATTCATAATCACTAGTAAGCTAAAATTAACTGTATAATTAAATGTATTTTTAAAAGGCATAAATATGGACAACTATTTTGAGCAGAACGGGGCGGAGATTAGGACCCAGTGATCCCTACAGTATTTTTAGTTGAAAACGAGTTGGTTGCAAAACAGGCAAGTGGACAGCCTACAGATAGGTTGTGATTACTGATATTACTCGAGAGAGGAGTTTATAGTAAAACTTCAAGGAAGACGACATGGACAGGACGGTCAGCCTGCCTAACCAGCCCGAGAAAACCACAACAGGTAACACATGTACACACTTACTTGATCAAAAATCTCATGTGAATCCTTTTTCTCGGTTATCTGACTGTACGCACTGTCACACGAGCTGACCCTCTGTTTAAGTAAAAGCTGAACTGTACTCGCAACTAGACACTCAAGTTCATGCTGAGCGTGTGGGTTAGCATTTTCTAGAGTTACATTACATGCGTAACCAGTGCAGTCTGCGTGGTTACTGAAATGCTGCGTGAGCCCAACAGCGAGGCGGGGGACCGTGTGCATGTAAAATAATTTGGTGTTAGTGTTTTAATAACATTATTGTGTCACATGTGAGGAAGTGTTCAGAGGTAGGACTCCTGTAGCTTTTCGTATAGAAGCTGCTCCCAGCAGGTTAACCCCGTCTCTACATGGAGTTTAAAACTTTAGACGTTAGAAAGTTGTAATAAATGTGCTGAGACAAAGGTCGTTTCATCTTAAAGGTACTGCAATTCTGAAATGTTGATAATTATTATTTTTCTATGAACTTCTGTAATACCAGTCATCATTATTAGGGAGGAGAAAATGTGATATATCAGTAAGACTGAAGCCCAAGTTTCCCCCGATACATATACAGTCACTAACACACACACACACATATGTATATATGTATGTATGTGTGTATATATATATATATATATATATATATATGAAACGTTTAGGTAGTAAATACTAATTTACAATAGATATATTGGCTACATGTGTTTACATAAAGTGTGTAAGCTATGCTGGAAAAAACAAAACAAAAAACAATGAATTCTTTATTTAGCAGATTTTCAAATGTGCTGTGAAGGCAGCACCATATTTAAGAAACAATCTACTATTTAGTTTTTCATTTTTATTTTATTTTTTTGCAGTGACTCTGGTTGAGAGCAGCAGTGCTCCCAGTGGGCTGGAACTAGTTAGTTCCTACCAGACCAACAGAGTTGGAGACCCCATGAATCTGGTTGCTCTTGCAGAGCAAGTCCAGAAGGTGTGGATTGGACTCAGTTTTTGTTATTTTTTACTTTCAGGTTATTCTCATAATGAATATGTGTTATATCTGAATATGTGTTTTGTTTTCCCCCCCAGGGAGATGAGTTTGTAAAAGCCAATGCCTGCAACAAACTGACAGTCATTGCAGACCAGATCAGATACCTGCAGGAGCAGGCGAGGAAGGTAAGAGCCGTGCACGCTAGATGAGCTGCATGGTCACGTTGCTCTGATCTAAAGGCAACATCTTTGCTTCTCTGCTAGGCTTTGGAAGAAGCCAAAAGAGACTCTGAACTGCACCACGCTGCTTGTAACATTGTGAAAAAGCCAGGCAACATCTACTACCTCTATCAGAGGCCATCGGGACAGAAATACTTCTCCATCCTCTCGCCTATGGTAGGCACCAGCCTTGTTCATGTTATGTCAGCCCAGACTGACAGCAGTTACAAAACTCCAGTACAGCAGCTACAAAACTCCAGTACAGCAGCTGTTACATCACACACGTGAATACTCAACGTGACGCTGCACGTCTGTGTGTTAGTGTTCAAAGGTCGTGCAGCCAGAAGGGAGCTGATAAATCAGATGATCAGGTTGCTCAGGTTGGATGTGGCTGGTTACGCTGCAGCTGTGGATGGTTTTGGAAGCACAAACTGGTTTTAAGAAGATTAACCTTTTCAATTGTAAATGTAAAACATTTGTTAAAAAAAAATGTAGCAGGATAAGCTTTTTAGAATTTTATCCAATTTGGATAAAACTCCTACGTTTTTTGTTTGTTTGTGAATTAGAGATACCGCCAATGCTACTCTTTTTCTTTCTTATTCGATTCCTTAGCTCCTGATTTCTGTCCGTACCAAATACTGATCTGATACCAGCGTTACACCAATAAACTGTAACCCGAAACTAGAAATCATTATGTGTAAAGCAGCATGTGGCTAATAAATGACAACAGGACTAAAACAAAAAAAAAAAGTGAATCTAACAGAATCGTGATCAGAGCTTTTCTGTTACTTCACCTCACTGGACTGCAGTTTGTATTTACGTGAAATCGTTTTACAAACATAAAGAAAAGCTGTCGGTATTGCAGACTTTGATGTGCTGAACGTTAGCAAACTAAATGAAGAGAGTTTCCTTCATGGTGGATTTTTGATCTCAAAACATATTCTATTTATTATGACAGTCCTCTCCTCTCCTCCACAGGAATGGGGTCCAAGCTCCCCTCACCCATTTCTTGGTGCATTCAAACTTCAACACGACATGTCGTGGACCCCCTTTGACGAGGTGGAGAAGAGAGACGCGGAGCTTGCCGTCATGGACAAACTCGTCAGCCAGCAGACAGCCTTACCTACGTACGCAGGACCCAACTTCAGAGGCCTCACTGAATAAAGAACAGACTGCTCCAACTTGTACACACTGGGCTTTTCAAGGACATGAGCCAGATGCTAACGCTAGTCTTAAAGGATTCCAGAACTGCTCGTGTCAGTCACAAAAGCTTCACCGACTTTCTCATGTTGCCTTAAGGACACAACTTGTTAAGTTTATGTTTGTACACACACACAAATCTTTTCTAAAAGTGAAAATCTCTGATAGACTTTGTCTGGACACTTTTACTGTATAAGAGCATTTATTAGAACTCGTGTAGCAGAATATTCCACCAACCTTCAGCACAAGGATCAGATATAAAGCTGCACCACAGAGCTCATCCAAAAACACAAGAAGCTGACATCCAGTCTTTTCTCACCAAAAGGAATTGTACTTCTGCGTCTCATGTTAGTACAGCATCAGTCTGCAATTTTTCAGCAGAATTCTAGGTTAGCATAGAGTTTAAGAAAAAACTGAACCACTCCAAAAGGTTTAGCTTTTTAGCACCATTAGTGGTGAAACAAGGCACCTTATCCAGCTGTATTCTTGAAACTTGGGCTCTTGATTAAAGCCCAACTGTAAGACAATATTGATATATGGTGATTTAAAAAAGCCAATATTTTTTTCAAATGTGCTATGTGTAGTTATTTATGAGTGAGGACTAGGTTAATGTGACAACTTGTTTATGGTCTGACTGGACGAGTCAGCTGGTTGTCATCCCTGTGGCATTTCCATCAGTGCCCTCTAGTGGACAAACTACAATGTCAACACTTGTGGTTGAAGCATGTTTCTCCGGTGTATTTATTTTTTCTAGCTTTTCAGCCAAAAGAGAGAAGACCACTACCAATATTTAGACCAGTGGCTAATACATGGCAGGGTTCGGGATGTTCCTAATGATTACTTTACTGTTTAACATCACTGTACAGTAATCAAATATGGCCACTGTTAATATAAACAATTGCATTACTGGTACAGAAGTGAGGGCAACAATGGTTAATTATCTGGTTGATGAGTTTGCACACTCGTAAGTTATAAATTGGCTTTTCTTAAAAATAAAATAAAAGTGTAAAGATGAGATTTTTTTTGTCTCCAGAAAAGAAACTGTCATTTCATGTTTGTTTAATTGCATATCAACAAAATCAAAGTGCAATTTCTTCATTTTAAATCAACGGTCCCCAGTCAGTCCCATTTACATCTTACTTTGAAAAATATGGATGTTAAAAGTGCATTTCTATTTTTAAAATATTGTCCATCACAGTCAGCTGAGCGTGTCTTCCTGTAATGATGTAATTTTTAGAAGGTAAGAGTTAATATGAGACAGAAGCTCCCAGTTATCCGTGGCAATGTTGAAGTGCACGGCGTCCTCCTCTGAGCTTACCTTCAGCAGGATGTGAGAGCGTGGTGGGAGGAAGAAGAGCACTTTGAATTCTTCTTTATGTGACGCGTCTGATATGAGGAAGGGGAGGAAGTGCTTTTCCACCAGTGTATTTAGAGCTGCTTCCTTCAACTGGCAGCAGAATAGGCTCATAGCACTGTCTCCGCTCTCTGAGCAGATTTCGTCCCACAAACCCTCGAACACGCTCAGTGTGCCGCCTGGTCCCCAGTTTGAGGGGACAGGCAGAGGCAGGAAAGTTTGCTGGAAAGCCACATGGATGTCAGGTAGGGTGGTGTGCCATGTATGGCCATCTGGAGAGGTGAAGATGGCGCTGGCGTGGAGGCTGGTAGGGTAAGGCTTCCTGGGCTTCAGTGTTAGCTGAACTATGGCCGACGGCCTCTCTCTGAGAAGACATGGGACGCTGATGTCGCCCAGCTCCTCGTAGTGATGGTCTGTGAGGCTGAAGTGAAGGCGGATGCTAAAGAGTTGATCGAAGTGAGAGTCATGCGAGTTGATGTGGACCAGCTGGTACTGTAAGGTGATCTCTGAAGCAAAGCTGGAGTCACTGAATTGATCTCTGTAGGCCTCCATCGATGCGCTCGCCTCCTCCGGGCCTTTCTGTACTTCATTTGAATTTATGTCTCCTGCTCGTGGCTCAGGAGGGGCCTCGATCAGCCTGAATACAGCTCTCTCTGTCTGCTGGATGGTCAGTGTGCTCGTCAGCCCCTCACCTATGAGGCAGGACAGTGACTGCTTTTTGTCCTGACGCCCTCCCTCTTCCATGCCCTGTGCCAACACCCCAGCCAGCTTCTCCCTTGACAGTGTGGTCAGGAGAGTGTAGTAGAGACGGGCGTGGTCCTGGATCTCCATGTCTGCGTAGTGACAGACGAGGAGCTGCAGAACGTCAGCCAGAGGAGTGAGCAGCGAGTCCAGACTTGGGTGGACGAGCAGATGGCGGCAGACCCTGAGGATTTCGTTTCCCAGACACCAATCACCACCTGTGCACAACGAGGATGACGAGGGAGTGATGATGCTGGAGAGGAAGGTGAGGGTGCTTTGCTGGATGATCTCTCCTTCCTCCGCCACTCGGGCCAGCATCTTGAGGTGCCGGCTGAGGTCGTGTGAGGTAAGCTGGGTTAGCGGTGCCTCAGTAATGACCCTCTGCAGAGCTTTGAGGAGCCCCACAGACCAGCTGGACTCAGACAGTCTGTCCTGGGTCTGGTCAGCCAGGTTGATGAAATGTGGAGCCAGCTTGGTGTGGTTGAGGTAGAGCTGACACAGCTGTTTGGTCAGGTCGTTGGAGTAACGCTCCACGTGGCAGAAATAATACAGGAAAAGGAAGGCCGCTCTGAAGAAGGTGACGACGAGCTCTCTGCCACACCCGTTCTCCACCATGCTCAGCAGCGAGTTCAGGTGCTCATAGAGGTAGGCCAGCCCTTGGCCTCCCTGGCCTTCCTCCCCCTCCTCCAGGTACACCAGGGATAGCATGTTGAACCGGGCGAGCAGGGTGGCGCTGTCATTAAACACGGTGGGGACCAGAGCTGAAGCGAGCTGCGGCGTGAGGAGCACAGGGAGGGTCTCGTCACCGTCGCCGCAGCTGATGGGCCGGTTCTCCGGGAAGTGCAGGATGCAGTCCATGTAGAAGAGTTTCTCAGGCGTGCTCAGGAGCAGGTGCTGGGAGAGCACCACTAGCCGTTTGAGGATGAAGGCTTCGTCTTCAGAGCTGAACAGGCTGTCTGTGAAGGCACACTTCAGCAGCAGAGTGACATGAAGGAGGCTCACCTGACGGCATGAAAAACACCAAAACAATCAGACTGATCACATCCCAAAACTTACCAAAGGGAAAGACAATTTGTTTTATTAAAAAGAAAAACAGAAAACACATATTTGGCAGTAATCAATAACAAGTTTTTAGAATAAATCATGTTTTGAATTGAAACGATCAGACTGAAACAGAAAAATGTCTTCTTTTAACAATAGCCCATTACTCCACACAATGGGGCCTGTGGATATTCCACGCACCTCAGTTCTGTTTTCTTAACCTTTAATTCAAGTATGTAATCTCATTACGGTGGCTGCTGTAGAACACGTTTTAGTCAAGAGAGATCAAAACCATGAAATATAAGCTGTGTCCCATAACGGCCGCGACAGGCTGGCGTTATGTGGTGTTTGTGTAAAAAGCACATTTTTGTATACACTATATATTAACATATATGAATAGTAACACTTGGAAATAAATTAGGTCATAAAATGTAAATGACTTCAATTCAGAACATGAGGCTCGAGGCGAGGAGAAAGAGGGTGTCGTTTCATTATGATAGTGGTGGTTTTGTCGCTTTGTGTTGTGTTTTCTGTGTCTTTGCTGGAGGGGACCCCTTCTCTGACGATAAAACATGTAAGGCGCTTCATATAATGAGTCTGAAGGTGCAGGAATAAATTGAAATGTTCCTCCACAACATGCAAACAACTACTACTTCTCTTCTCCTCTGCCTTTGACGTCTTACGTATGTGACTGGTCTCTAGGCAAACAGGCAAAACTTGATTTATTCAAAATATGGCGTGGGATCAGGGTGGTTTCCTCATCAAATTGTTGGAAGATGTAATTACACACTAATCAATATATATTGATGAGTATAATATTCTTTTTCCCCCCTATTAAATAACTTTAAAATTGACTGACGGTACCTTCAAAGTTGAGGACAGACACCAACATATTTTATCTTGTAGAACAAGACATGCAAATGCTGAAAGACTTAACCACACACTTTCAGCCATCTAACCAAAAACCCAGTCAGATTATAAACAAGGAACTAGAAGTGCAAAAACGCCAACTAATTTCCTGCTTTAAGGAATCACAGCACTTCATCCTTTACTGATTCCCCTCCCCCTTCAATTCATTCCATGTAACACAAACCTCACTGGTGCCCAGGAGCCGCAGCAGGTGAGTCCTGAATATAGCTGGAGGGACTCCAGGCACCATGGCAACCACCTCTGTCAGTCTATGTAATAGTGTAGCCTGACACAGAGGAGTGAGCAGGTAGGACTCATCCAGGAGGGTGGAGAGGACTGATCGCAGCTCCTTACAGTCAGGGCCGGTGTGCAGAGTTGGTACTGTACCCATGGGTCCCAGGATGAGAGAAGACAGTATGGCTGAGTCCTTGCTGCTTGCCAGGCCTGACTCCTGGTCTGCTTCCCATGCAGCTGATGTGTTCCCTCCCAGAAGGGCTTTAAGGTGCTCAGCACCAGCTCCTGTTTCCTGGGTGAGCTGATAGATGGCATTTCTTAACACCAGAGTGTAAAGCTCCGCGTAAGCCTGGTGGAGCCTCGATGTTTCCTGCTGCCAGAGCCCACCCAAGAGCTCAAGGCGCTGGGAGAGGAGGCTGGGGCAGCAGGCTTCCAGTTCCCGCAGGCACTCGCAGGCTATTGCCCGAAGAGGACGCTGGCTGCCATCCGTATGGATGTCGCTGGTGTCCTGGGCTATTTGAAGGAGCACATCCAGAAAGTCTAGAGATGCACGGGAGTGGCTCTTCACACAGGAAGTGCAGATGAGGACGGAGGTGAGAGCCAGGAGGAGGTGACAACGAAACTGGACAGACTTAGGAGGACACTGGGCGAATACTGACATGAGCTCCAGGGCTGTCTCCTCACCCACAGAGTCCGAACAACACACCAGGGTGGGGTGCTCACACAGCGGCGATAGCAGGAGGATCTGCGTGTGGGAAACACATAGAAGATAAGAACACTGCACACAAAAACATTAGCTTGCCTGGCCTTCCGCCAGGTTACTGCCACAAATCCTTAAAAAACAGCAAGTCTGTAAGTACAGTCACATATATGTTACTGCTTTACATTTTCAAACTTCTCCGTATCCCATAGCTACCAAACAACACAGTTTGCTCGTTGCTGTCTTGCGAATGTAGAGAGTCAAACACGGCTAATTTAGTGTCAGTGGCTAAGGTACACACGTCCCAGAGCGAAATAAGGGAACAGACAATGAATATGACACACTGCACTGTACATGTTTGCCAGCTGACACAATACCGACGCTTTCTGTTCACTATATTTACCTTAACGCTGTAAGTGGCTCTGTCATCGCGGAGCTCGCGGAGCAACTCCGCCAGGAAAGCCTCCGCGGTGGTCCCGGAGAGGAAGCCGGACGGTCTGCGGGAGAAAGCAGAAATCCTCTCGGCCCAGTTCGCCGCCATTGTCTCTCAAATCCAAAACTTTATCGGCTTGCAAGTTATCATTTCAGGAACTGTTACTGAAATCCGCTGCTAGCAAAGTTGTCTTTGAGAATTAAAGAAACCAGGCTTCGCAAACATACAGCATCCACTGTTGATAGCTGCCGTTTCCGTATTGTGTCACGCGCACATTTAATACTTGCAGTGCTATATTTACCGCCCCCTGCTGCTTTGGAGGATATATCCAAAGAAAAACTTTTAAAACCAAGGCATATCTCTAAAGAGCGAGTGGCTGTGTCCAAATTTAGGGGTAGCATGCTTCGAAGGATCCACCCTACCCCTGAATTTCCTACCCTTGAATTAGGACACAGCCACTGAATGTAGAATCCCAGTCAACTAAGCTCAGTGCCTCAGTTCCTTGAAAGTCAGAAGTGCATCAGAAGCTCAGGAAACAGCATGGTCCTCATTAAAAAATTTAGCATGTCATGATTCTGTGTAATAAAGTGAGATTTCATTTTT